TCTTCTCTTCTCTTCTCTTCTCTTCTCTTCTCTTCTGCCTTCCTTCTCTTCTGCCTTCCTTCTCTTCTTCCTTCCTTCTCTTTTTCCTTCCTTCCTTCTTCTTCCTTCCTTCCTTCTCTTCTTCCTTCCTTCTCTTCTTCCTTCCTTCTCTTTTTCCTTCCTTCCTTCTCTCCTTCCTTCTCCTTCTCTTTTTCCTTCCTTCTCTTTTTCCTTCCTTCTCTTTCTCTCTCCTTCTCTTTTCGCTAATATCCTTTTTCTTTCTTAGGCCGGGGGTGCTGACGAGTCACCACGAAACGCAACTCTCTCGCTTGAAATGAGCGTCAAGTGCAAAAATTGAGGATATATCGCGATTTTGATGTTTCCCCGGCAACCCTCTCGCACGAAATGAGGGTCAATTGTCATAAACATCACCTTGAAGACATCTTTGGAGCAAAGCCTGAAGCCACTTATTCTTTTTGTAACTGCGCGCAGGCCTGCTTAAACATTGCCTTGAAAACGTCTTTGGGGCAGGACATGAATGCACACGTTTTATTGCGGAAGGGGGAATCTCTTTAAACCTCGGCTGGAAAGCAGCTTTGGGGCAGGACCTGAATCCAAACATTTTGTGGCAACAACGCATGCAAACCTGCATGAACATCGACTGGAAGACATCTTTGGTCTCATCCTTTTCACACCCTCTCTTTCACTTTTCTCTTACTATGTCACAGTTCTTTTTACTTTACTGTTTCATCGTAATGCAAGTGCACCAGAGCAACACCTAAACATTCTTGGGCCATCCATCGTCTAGTTTTTGGTCAGCCAAGCTGTAAACCAAAATGTGAACATCGTGTTTGAACAGCTCTGGTGAAAACGGAGGTTGAACGGTTTGGCCACATCTGCAGAAAAACGTCACTCCTAGAGGCCAACTGGTAGTGAGCAAGATAAGAGAGTTTGATGCCAGATTCCTATTAAACAGGTATTGCGGTATAAAATATAAGCCAAAGGAAGGGACAAAATTGCAACTCACCAGTTGCTCCAATCAGCAGGGGTGGGAACGCCTCAGTCGGTAGTGGCTCAGCAGGATCATTGGATTGAAAAAATCAGTTTCTCCATGAACGATCTGCGGAAATAGTAACAGGAGAGGTTCTTTTGATGGTCAAAACTTTGCATCTTCTTCAATTGGCCAGATTTAGGGCACTATTAATTGTTTTTTTTTCCAGCTTTCGCAACTATATTGCAACTTGGCTGTAGCATTGCTTCGCGCTATCCGTTGCTTCGTAGTTCTCGCCATGGAGCCCATTCTCGTTGTGAGCACTTTGGTGCTGATTTTTGCTCCGGTGCATTTCTACCTCAGGCAAGAGGACCTGGTGACCCTGCGACAATGGATCGGCTGGGGAACCAGTTTGGAAGATTGCCAGGAGGATCCCGTCACGAAGGAATTCCGGGTTGAAGAGGAGACGCCAGACAGCACTAGTCTCCTTGTTTTGTTTCTGTTCCCCAGTTCTGCTTCTGTTTTTCAGGCCAGCTGGATATTCAAGCTCCTAAGAAAACCCGCCTGGAGTTGTTCCAAAGCGGGGGGGTTTGAGCGACCAGTTGTGTCCCCAGCAAGATCCCTGACATGACAACTGTGAGTTGGGGCGCGGATGGTTGCAAATTGAGGATGATGAAGGTACGGCAGATGAATTTGAAGATGCTTTGCAGACTCTTTGCACACATAGTTGTTCCTTTTGGCATCGCGATTTTCTACCAAGCCTTGAGTGCACCAGAGTTTGACACCATGGCGCTGGGGATGTTGTTCTTAGTGGCCTACTGTTTCCATAGTGTGGTTGGCAGTAGCATGGAGCTTACTGCGAGGCACTTGACCATCTTCAACTGTGTGGCACACGTTGCTGAGTGACGAAGTATCAAGACTGTCATTTTCCTTTGAAGTAGGCAGCTATCGACTGCCCCGTTCTTTTGTGGGCGCATCGGCGCATCCATTTGTGGAGGTTTCTATTTTTGATTCTACAAAGGACGCTTTCTTCGCAAACACCCTCGAAAAGTGGTTTCGGAGCCTCATGCTTTGGGTTTTAGGAGACATGTCCTCCGGGCGTGTATGATTTGCCTCCAGTTTGTTCAACCTGGAAGACCCACAAAACGTTTGTTAGCATTTAATGGAGAAGCACTTTCTTCTGTTTCCTCAACTCTGGGAACGCAAGGTTCTTGTTCTTCCGTGTTCATTCCTCCCCGTGCTCTCAGCTACAAGCTCGATCATGTTTCCGTTGGCGCAAAGCTTTGTGGTTGCGCTTCGCTTTTGTGCGGCCTTGTACTTTTTCGATCAACGGCTGATCATTCCATTCAACATTGCTTACAGCTCCATCAACATCATTGTGTACGTCTGTCACTTCCGAGAGTCTGGCGGCGCAAATCTGTTTCTCCTCCTCAGCATGGAATGCTTCAATTTTGTGCTCATTCTCGCCACTGGGAGCTTCATTGACCTGGCCCTGCGAAGACAAACCTATGCTGTGTTGGACACAGCTCATGCTGAGTCCTTGCTCGTGGGTTTTCGGAAAATGCTTCGAGGAATTTGCGACGGCGAGGCGCTCTTGGACAGTCATATGAACGTGGCACAAGAAAGTGAATGCTTAAAACATTTGATTCTCACCACTGTGAGCCTTGAGGGTCGCTCCTTTGAAGAACTACTGCTCGAGACGGAGCGCCCTCGTTTCCGCCACTTCATTCAGTCTTCGGCATCTTCGTCTTCGGCATCTTCGGGGGCCCCACCCTTTTGCTCCCGCTTGCTGTTTCGAGGCGCAGCGGGGATCGGCGTGGCCGCAGACGTGTACCACGTGCCGATTTGGGGGCTCTTCGGTGGTGCGACCCAACCGCATCATCTCATCGCGTTTAAGGAAGATCCGGAATTGCGACAGCATCCTGAGGCAGAAGAAGATTCCTTGCCTGCGCAGCTGCGTTGGAAGAAGGACCATCCACATGCATCGGCCAGCTCTGCGCGCACAGCTTCGCTAATCTCTGGAAGCACGGTACACAGTGCACACCCGATTTTTCCGGAGTTTCAGGAGATGACCTTGCTGGTGGATGTGGAGACCGAACTGCAGGATATTCTGCAGGCACACTTGAGTTTCGAGCGAACGGACCAGAGTGACCCAGAGTCAAACAGCGATCCTAGGATCCTCCGTTTCTTCGGACCTCGAACGCCCCTGGACAAGGGGACCCCAAGTACAAAGAAGCACCTTCTTGTGCCACGAGAAGTGAAGAAGCTAGATAACCTCCATAGGAGAACATCGGACATGACATGTGAAAACCCTGCTCTCTTTTTGGTTGTTTGCCACCCTGTGAGGCTTGGGTCAAGGGCGTGATGAGTCCGGGGTCATGGGGTGCAATTCTTTTTGCAGAACCACCAACTGTGAAGGTGAGACTGTGGGTCCTCCTCCAACCTGTTGGCCTAGGAGTGGCTGCTCCCCCAAAGAAATGCCTCCGCCCTGGGCCGGAGCTCAGGTGAGCCTGCCGTGGGCTCGAGCATGCCCAGCCTGCGACGCTTGGTGAAGCCCACGGACTGGGAACCGCTCCGGGCCAGCGTGGTGGCCTACGTGGAGCAGGCGCAAGTGGATCCAGAGACTTGGACACCATATATTTAAAAAACGTGTGTTTCAGGCATTCTTGGAGAACCAGTTTTAAATCACCAGCAGCTCTTTTTTGGCCGTTGCGCCGGGATCTATTTCTGTTTGAGGGAAGGCCAGATCAACCACTTGAATTGATCGGTCGGTTTGGAAGCTGCAAATCGCCTCTAGCCTCCTTGTTTCTTTAGCCTTTCCCTGCGCCAGTGAGGACACCCCACCCCTACCGCTGGCTGGCCTGAGCTTTCAGCTTCCCAGTCAAAGTGGCTGGCTTCAAGCAGAAGAGGCGACGCTCCACCGCATCCAAGGTGCACAGAAGGTCTGGTTCCATTTGAAAACATTCCGACCCGAGAAGGTGCCTCGCCCTCGAAGTTCTCTGGATGCCATTCACGAAAGTCCGGGCCTTCGGGGGCGCAGCGAAAAGGCTGGCGGAACGCCGGTGCTGGGTGAGACGGCAGAAAGATCCGCAGCTGGTGGAATCGCAGGTGTCCAAGATCACCCAAAGAGGTGAGTTTGCTTTAGGAATCAGCCTACTAGACTAGGGAAAATGAGAAAGCTAGCGAGTTTGCTCTACACCAGCGTACCGAGCAGATCGAGTCGGAATGCGTTTGTTTGGGGTAGAGGAGAAAGGACCCACAGATCTATCGATCCATCCATCCATCCATCCATCCATCTGGTTTCTTTTGGTTTGTTTGGTTGCTTCTTGAGTCAACCCCCTAAGAACTTGACATGTTCATCTCTGAGGCAACAGAAAGCTCCTGCTCTTCCTGGTCTTGTGGCAGGGCCTCGGGCCTGTGAGGCAGGGCCTCCGGGTTTTGCACCAGAAGCCTCCGGACTGACACATGAGATGGGATGCGGTACCGTTCAGACACTCCACAGTTCAACTTACAGTACAGACTCGGACAGACAGTTTCTTTGTTTTGAGCCAAAGAAGAGTACGTCCTGCAGTTTTGGGCACCACTCCAAGAAGCACACTTTTGGTGGTTTTGGTGATGTTCCAAGGAGCTGCGGAATTCATGCTCGCTTTAGAAGAGAGTCTGGTCGCATGGAAGAGAATTTGTTGGTCACAGCTTGGGTTTCCAAACCCCCCCCGACAGCTTGGGGAAAGCAGACTGGACATAGACTTTTGAGCTGGGTCTCGAGTCCTCCGGACGGAAGCTTGGCTGAACCGCCTTGCGGTTCTGCAGACCTGTTTGCCTCTTAGCCAGGCGCCCTTGAGCCCTGGACCTCTAGAGATGGTTCGGAAGCCAAGAGTGTTGAGATGGGCCACGTTTTGCTTCTAGGTTATTGTGCTGGAGGCCATCGCTATTGGGTTGGAGGCCATCCAACCTAGAAGCAATGGCCTTCTTAGTTTCAACAGGTTTGGATCTGCATGGCGATTGAGATTCATTTCTCTGGGAGCCCGAAGGCAAGTCCCCCTACCTCTCAGGGGCTGATAAGCCTTGGGCTGGAGAGTTTGGTCCAAGCTTGCGACCAGTATGGGCATTACAACATGTGGTTTCTACTTCTCGTGACTTCTCTCTGAAAGAGAATCTAACTCCATGACTCCAGGCCCATGACTCCATGACTCCATGACTCCATGACCAGCAGCGGACCTTTGTCCCTTCTGCCTTTCTCAGGCGGAGAGCTGCGAACCCCAGCAGCTTTGGCCTCCAACACCGGAATCGACCCCGCCCTGCACTCCTCGCGAAGTGCCAAACGCTGCAGTGCCAAACTTCTGCGCGTTTCCAGGACGCCAAGGATTTCAATCTTCTTCCGGCAGCCGGTATTTCAGTTTCCAAAAACCGATGTACCATGGCATCACAGGAATCATTATTGCGGAAGATATTGTCTTTGGCAGGAGTGTGGCAGATCACGATGCCAAATGTGACCATTGCTGAGCAAAGCTATCCGCAGGTCGATCTGCTGGAGGAGTGCAATGCCTTTTGGGGATGTGTGCCTTAGGAGGCTGGGTTGACCCATTCTTATCAAGTCAACGATCTCCCATCCTCCATGGTTCCTGGAAAGAGTTGGAACACCTTTTCACCTCCAAAGTTCCACTGATCCACTGCCGGTGGGAGGAGATTCCGGACGAGGAGGCCCAGGCGTGTGAGCTGATGATTGCCCAGCTGGAGGAAGCCTCCACACGTGCAGAGGCGCTGAAGGTCCCGTCGCTTCACCGTCACCAGCACCGAAAAAGACCCAGCGGCGTGGTGAAACCGTGGGGTCGAGGTACGGGGTGTAAAGGGGGGGGTGCAGTTGATCTTTGGAAGGGTTTCCTTACTACGCGCTGCGTTGCCAAATGGTGGGTGGAGTGGTGTTTTTCCGCGGCCGTCGACGTGCATGGGGCGGGCATCTCGGAAGGCCTTGGAGTTGCTGGGTTTGAGGGCCTGGGAGATGAGCTGCTCAGCCGCCGGGACCCGCGTGGTGCAGAAAGCGTTGGAGGTCGCCGCCTCTTGGGCTGAAGAGCTTCACCGAGCTTCATCCTGTGGGATGGAGTTGTCCTTTTTGTTGTTCAGAGTTCATTGCTAAAGGTCATTCATAGGCCGGTGTAGACAAACTCTAGAGAGCAGGTGGTGGCTGACGATTTCCCTTCTGATGATTTCCGTTCTTGAAGGCGCTGTATTGGAGAAATCCACTTGTAAACCTCTACCTTTTCTCCTGAACATGGAAGGAGATCTTTGTGGTTACTGGATGAAATCATCGTGTTTGTTTTGCTTTGTGGTAAACCCAATTCGGAAGCCACAAGAGCATCTCATGCAGCATATTGCCTTCCCGAGTCCGAGCTCGTCATGCGATCTAGGACACTCCAGAGCGTGGCTTGGTCTGTTCATGCGGACCCGTTCGGACATGCGCGAGGAAGAGGCATTACAGGCGGCAGAGGCACGTCTTAGAGGCATGTCTTAGTCTTAGTAGATCTGAATCGGCTGAATCCTACACCCATCACCACGGGAAGATCAGACAGCAGTTCATGCAGGAAAGACGATTTGGTGATACACCACGCTCATAGTACCGTTTGAAGTTGTTGCCAAAGGTTCTGCCTCGCATCATGTTGCAACTGGTTTCTTTGTCTCTAACACCGCATTGGCTGGTTTTGGAGACATCAGTCATCAGCCATCAATGATTTGGGAGCTTTTTGTGTCTCACCTCATACTAGTAGGTTGACGAGCTGTTCTGATGTCCCAAAGCAAAGCATGTGGTTGAGCATGGCAGCTTCGCACAGACAGGGTACGGCGAGTAGGGGAGCTACATGGAAGGTCATATGGTTGATAAGAATCTGCACACTCCTGAGAAAGCATGGCGAAGCATGGCGAAGCTATGAATTCGAGCTTTTTGGGGTGTTGTTCAGTGACCCAACAGCTTCCGGCTTTGCGCTGTCCAGGTGTGGCGTTGGCAGAGCAGCTGCAAGGGCATGTCAAAGAAGCCTTTGCCTCGCCCCACGCGAACCACGTCCTTCAGTGCCTTGTCACTTTTTGGCCATTTGGAAGTGGGGAACTTGCAGTGAATGACTGGTGACTTTGTCTTTGGAGTGAGCCCACCAAGCTTCCACGTCTGTGGCTGATAGATTCCGCGTCCGTATTTGTTGGCATGGCGGATTTGCCTCAGCCGCCCAGGAAATGCATTGAGCTGATCCCACCGGAGCGGCTCAGCTTCCTCTTGGCCGAAATGCACGGAAGCGCTGTTGCGGCCGCCAGGCACCGCTATGGCGCCTGGGCACTGGGGAAGGTCTTGGGTCGAACAACGGGAGGTCTGGCTGGAGGGTTTCTACAAGATTTGACCGAGTTTTGGATGCAATGCTATTTTTTGAGGGTTCCAAAGTTCCTCAGCTTCTGATTTGCTTTGCCTTCAGCCCATGGTGGTCAACGTGATTAAGTTGAATTCGTCGTCGCACAGAAATCGCGTGCCAATCTACTTGGGCTTACTGTAGTACTGTGGAGGACACAAAAAACCTGCACCGCTGTGTATGTTTTCTTTTGCTCCCTCTGAATTTTGCATTTGGCATCCGAGCGCAGAAGGGTTCAGCGAAGAGCCTCCATCAGCCCGAACGTCTCCAAGGCTGCCGAGTCCTCGAGCGTCTTCTGGAGCATTGTCCCAGCGAACAAACGGCACCACTCATCGAGGAAGCCACGGGGCTCCACAGCACCGGGGGGGGAAGGTGTAGCGTCCTTGTTCCTATAGTAGTAAGGCCAGGAGTGCCCCGTTCGTCGCGTCCGATCGCTCCGTGCGTAGCGATGCCCTGACCGCTCCTGAGGCGTCTTCTTATTTGAAACTGTGAATCCAAAAGTCACCTTCCCAGATGTTCATGAAAAGAAACCAACAACAGCTACAACGCTGTTCACGTTTGGCTCAAGAAAACAGAGCGGTTCGGCTCACATGGGTTATGAGCCCAAAAGGTAGTAAGACCACCTCAGAAAACCTGAGTGCTGGCCGCCATGGATCTCCGGAGAAGGCGCTCTCAGTCGAAGGGGCGAGAGCCGACGGCGGATGAAAGGCTAGATGCCTTGCTGGAAGAGGCAAGAGCATCAGAGAAACCCAAAGAACCAACCAGGCGAACACAAAGCTTGGAGCCCAGTCGGATGTTGACGCCCTCGTTGAGGAAGACCTCATCGGCTTTGACGGCTGGTGCTTCAAGAGAACGATCTGCACCTGAAGAGGTTCGAGCGATCGAAAACAGAGATCGTGAAGGCCCTAGACAACCTCAAGGACCGCCAGTGAGCTTCTTGCCGGTGGTTCCTCCTTTGCCTACAGGCTCACTACCTCCTCCTGTACCTGGACACCATGTTGGCGGACAAGTCGGAGGGCATGAAGGTGGTGGTGGGGCGCCGAGCCTGCTGCAGCCGGTCCAGGAGCAAGCCTGGGGAATGCTGGCCGGCTTGGGAATGCCTTTGCCAGGGATGTGGGGAGAGAGAGGAAGCCAATCACAAATGCCGATCTTGCCAGGGCAACGTGAAGCGGGTGGACCTATGATGGGGGCATCTATGGAAGCCGAACATGTACCTAGTGGCCGACTAGCGGTGCAAGACCATCCACCAGAACGCGGGGTTGGTGAAGATCTGAAGGGTTCGGTGAAGAGTTCGCCGGTGAATCCATGGACAGCTGAGAAACTTCGTGAACTACATGACCAAGCCCAAGGCAGTCGTGGAGTACCTGATCCCGTGGAACTACTTCGTGCAAAATGTCTACAAGAAGCGGAGGTCAGGTTTCAAGAAGAAGTACAAAAGTTGGGTCAGCCGAGCTCGAACTCGTCTTTCCAGTCCGCAGTGGAGGCCCCTGGAGGCAAAGTTCAAGGTGGTGGAGATGGGCAAGCTACGAAATCGGTGACGGCGCCGATCGTGAATGTGGGACCAATGGCTCCGGGTGCAACACCTGTGGCTTACCCATGGCCCTATCCTCCCGGTTTACCTGGACAACTTCCTTGGGGGAATGGAGTGTGCGGCATTTTTCCGAATGGAGGCTCTGGTCCATCTACATCGCCAAATTCATGGGTGGCACCAGATGAATCACTGGGTGATCAAACCCGGTCAGTGGAATTGCCGGTGTTGGGCCTCGAAGCAACATCGCTGGCGTTTGGAGATTGGCTT